CAACAAGGAAGTATGTTAGGTTAGGTTAAGTTAAGTTAAGTTAGGTTAGGTTAAGCTAAGTTAAGTTAGGTTAGGCTCGGACATACTGTGCTACTTATATACGTAAAACAAGTTTATATTCATGAGTGCACAGAAAGAAATAGGTTAAAGCGATATTCAGAGAGAGAGAGAGAGAGAGAGAGAGAGAGATGACCCACACCACATAACTGCCGGCCATCACCAAAGTCTTGCAGGATAATATAGTTTTTACACTAGTCAGACGAGGGTGGTGTTGCTAGGCAGGTGAAGCCCCCTCCCCCTCCCCTCCCCTTTGGCTTCATTTGTTCACTTGGCCTTTTTTTGTTCAGTTAGCTTCATCTTGTGTTCAACCTTGACTTTTCTGTGCTTACTTTGCTTCTTTTTTGTTCCTTTGGCTTCTTATTGTATTCAATTGGCTCTGTTTATTTAGATGATTTTTGGTTTAATTGGCTTCTTATTATGTTCAATTGGCTTCATCTTCAGTTCACTTGACTTCATCTTGTGTTCACTTGGCTTCATATTGTGTTCACTTGACTTAATCTTGTGTTCACTTGGCTTTATCTGACACTTGGCTTAATCTGGGAGAGAGAGAGAGAGAGAGAGAGTGAGTTACCACTACCTTGCGCAGAAGTCAAAGCTAATAAACTGCCTCCACCACATCAAAGGGAAGGAAGAGGAGGTGGTGGAGTAGATGGTGGTGGTGGTGGTGGTGGTGGTGGTGGTGGTTGTGGAGGAGGTGGTGGAGTAGATGGTGGTGGTGGTGGTGGTGGTGGTGGTGGTGGTTGTGGAGGAGGTGGTGGTTGTGGAGGTGGTGGCTGTGGAGGAGGTGGTGGTTGTGGAGGAGGTGGTGGTGGTGATGATGGCAGCAGCGGATGTCAGGTCAGGTGATGCAACAAGGGCTGGGTAAGAAGGGTTGTTGGAGGCAATGTAGTCGAGGTGTCTTGTGTGCACCTTAAACACACACACACAGACACACACACACACACTTGCACATTTAAGTACACACACGCATAAATAATTATGCGAGGGCACAGCTGGCTTCACTCCTGCGTTTACCACTTACTATTTCCAATCCTCTCTCTCCCTGAGGAGTGAATCCGAAGCTTTGGCTCGTGAGCGGGAGAGGAGGGGGGGGGGTGTCAGGGTAGGTGTTTTTCTGTGGGTGTGGGGGATGGTGGGGGGTACTAGGGAAATGGTCTTTTGTAGGATGAGAATTTTTAGCCTAAAGTTTTTATCCACCAAAAGACAGTTTGCCGGGCCTAGTCCCCAGGAAATTGTCATTTGAAGTTTACGATTTTTTGGGCGGCCATTAATTATCTGAGAACCAAATAAGACGGCGCAGGCGTGGCTAAGGAGCACACACCTCGGAGGTATGAATAGCGTGGCGACAGCTCCAATTTTTGTTTAAATCTGGTTAAGTTGTTCACATAAGCTGCTAGAAGTGGTAGAAAGAAACTTCTGAGAAGTTTTATAGTTGTAGATTCAGCTTCTGCATAGTCAAAAACATGTGGTTCGATACCAAAATCATTCAAAACGCCCCACTGTATCAAATTATGTGGCAAACATAGTATTTCTATACCGCAAATGGCGGCCATATTTAAAAAATGGCGGCCATTTTGAATTTTTAGGTGGCTAACGGGCTTTTTCAACATAGTAGCCTCAGAGAAGTAGTCATGCTAAGTGTGGCGCTTGTGCCACCCTTTGAAAGATTCTTTCACTTATCTGCCCCGCTAGAGGTCCTCCTGATTTACATACTTCAGCCGGAATTCCCTCAGGTCCTATGGCCTTGTTAGTTTTATCTGATAGATGTCAGTCACGGGATGGAGGGTAGTCGAGGTGGACCAGCTCCGGGTGTTGAGAGGCCCGCTGAGTAGTGAAGACACACACACACATTATATATATATATATATATATATATATATATATATATATATATATATATATATATATATATATATATATATATATATATATATATATATATATATATATATATATATTTATTTATTTATTTATTTATTTATTTTATTTATTATTTTTTTTTTCAGCTCAGCGGACTTGACGAGTCAGCCAAGAAGTGAAACAGATAAAGTTGGCAATAAAGGGGACATGAAGCAGACCCTTGATGATGGGTTACGTTGGTCATTCATTATTCACTCCCTTGCCCTCAGGTAACAGCTCTCTCTCACCAATACCAATATTCCTGAAGTTTTCAGTTAATGGTTTAGTTACAACCTTGGCAGCCAACGAAACATACACACAGTGATTAAAAAATTTCCCCCCAAGGTATACATGCTGAGAACAACAACACCAACCTCTCTAGTTAGTTCTTAAGAATGTTTCTCCTGACTAACAAAAGGAAAAACGGTGCCCCTACAAGAGCGATCGTGTTTGATTCGGCAGAGGACAACCGTGTTTCTTACCTCATCTGTGTCTACCTTAAGTGTGTTTGCCTATTCTAGTTCATCAGGTTTCACTTTGCCTCTCAGTCACACTCGATGAATCATGTGACGCCAAATACTTACCATTTCTCACACGACCTTCACAGAATTACTCACTCACTAACGAGGGGCTATCCTTAGCGTTGTTGTGTGCAGGATGCCGGCAAGGTTTCTACGATCCCACGAAAGAGAGTTGCGGATCTATTGTGTTCCAGCCAGTAAGTGAAGCATAAGGAAGCCTCGCCTCTCTCCATCGTCATAAGAAATGAAGCCCTCTTAACATCGGCTTTAGAAGTCTTGAAGATTTGTGTGTGTGTATGTGTGTGTTGTGTGTGTATGTGTATGTGTGTGTTGTGTGTGTGTGTGTGTATGTGTGTGTTGTGTGTGTGTGTGTGTGTGTGTGTGTGATAGAATCTCACATCACTTATAAGATATAAGTACCATTCAATGACTTTCTTTTCCACATGTTAGGATTTATAAGTAAAGAAACGCCAGTCACCCCACGATAAGTAAAAAGCATCCACGCCCCTCGTAAAGGCATCCACGCCCTCAATAAGGCATCCGCCTCTCAATAAGGCATCCGCCCTCAATAAGGCATCCACGCCTCTCAATAAAGGCATCCACGCGCCCTCCAATAAGGCATCACGCCTCTCAATAAGGCATCCGCCCCGCAATAAGGCATCCACGCCTCTCCAATAGGCATCCGCGCCCCTCAATAAGGCATCCACCCTCAATAAGGCGTCACGCCCTCAATAAGGCATCCCACGCCCTCAATAAGGCGTCCACGCCCTCAATAAGGCATCACGCCCCTCAATAAGGCATCCGCCCCTCAATAAGGCATCCACGCCTTCCCTCAATGGGCATCCACGCCCCTCAATAAGGCATCCCACCTCCCCCAGGGTTCACAGGGTTACCGCCTATTGGCCTTCACGACTTCGGACAATTTTCAGAGAGAGAGAGAGAGAGAGAGAGAGAGAGAGAGAGAGAGAGAGAGAGAGAGAGAGATACAATAGATAGAGAGAGAATGTTTACTTACTACCACGCACCTCTTCCTCCACCCTCATTAACTGTAACATGTTGGCATCTCCTTAGATCACTAAAATCAACGTTGAACATACACAAAAAATACAAACGATCTTTAATGACCTTGAAATTGCGTCGTTGTCTGTATTCGTTCGCTCATCACCAGTCACTGATGAGAAAAAAATATTGGTTACCTCACTATTCTCATTGTTTACATTCACCAGCGCGTCCGAACTGCTGCCTCTGGCACTGGCTTCGTCGTGATTAAGAGAGGGAGATTGAATGTTGTGGAATGATTATCTTTTGCTTTGTTCGTATTATTTTTATTATTTATTCTTCTTTTGATTGTATTTGAACTTTTGTTGGATGTTATTTTCGTCTTTTTTTTTGCCTTTAGGTGTTAATTATACACGTGGTCATAATTACATTAAAAGAACACGGTGATTTTAGAGTGATTTATAACTTGGCTGGACATTTTTCCCGAGAAAATACGCGTGTGTGTGTGTGTGTGTGAGATATATTAATGCGGATAATCATGAATAAAGACAGACAGACAGACACACACACACACACACACACACACACACACACACACACACACACACGACCCCTTATAACCTGAGCACAGTTTTTCTAGCTAAATGCGTCATCAAGTTCCCCGTCAGCGTATCCCGGAAGACTCTACCAATAGCCACGGCGGCAGAAGCAGGTAGGCAGGCCCCGGGGGAGGGAGGGAGGGGGGTTGATGAGGGCAGAAGGATCATCTTCCCCTTGATGAGTCCAGGATGATCCCTTATGTGAGGGAGGGAAGAGGGAAGGAGGGTACTGCAAGGATGGAGGAAGTAAGGATGCAGGAAACGGTACACGAAGGGAGAGAGAGACGGGGGGAAGAAGAGAGAGGGGGGGTGAGAGGTAGGAGGAGAGAGTACAGTTGGAGGGGGAGGGTGAAAGGTAGGCATGAGAGGAGAGAGAAAGGAAGGAAGATAAACATGGAGAAAATGGCTTAAACGTGAGATCAAGATAGATTAAACAAGGCAGAGAATAAGCACCACTATCTTCCCACGTTGACCACAGATGGGAGGGGGAAGGAGGAGGGAGGAAGGGTGTGAGGGGGAGGAAAGAGGGGTGTGACGGAGGGAGAGAGGGTGGGAGAGAGTGAGGAGAGAGAGAGGGGTGGGAAGGAGAGAGAAGGAGGGAGGGTGGGAAGAAGGAGAGAGGGAGGGAGGGAGAGCAAAGCAAGCACAGAGGGGGAGAGGGAGGGAGGAGAGCAAGCAAGCACAGAGGGAGGGAGGAGGGAGGGAGGAGGTGGGTGGGAGGAGATCAAGCAAGCAGGGAGGGAGGGAGAGAGGGCGGGTGGGAGGGAGATCAAGCAAGCACAGAGGGAGGGAGGGAGGGAGAGAGAACCAAGGGAAACGTTCAACACCTTCCATATTCCCGACCACTCCAGGATCATCATGTGTGTATATAACCAGCATCTACCTGTGGTTCGACCCCAGTCTTCTACAAGGAACGTGTTGTCTTGTTTACCAGTCTATGAACGTTTTGTAGTCTGCCAGTCTATGAACGTTTTGTAGTCTGCCAGTCTATGAACGTTTTGTAGTCTGCCAGTCTATGAACGTTTTGTAGTCTGCCAGTCTATGAACGTCTTGCAGTCTGCCAGTCTATGAACGTCTTGCAGTCTGCCAGTCTATGAACGTTTTGAAGCCTGCCAATCTACGAACGTCTTGTCTGCCAGCCTGTGAACGAAGCCCGTGACACCTCCAGCCTCCACCTTAACTATGCACACTGAGGTAAACCAAATCTTTATCACTGTAAGGTATTCCTGTTATTTACACTAAACACCAATACTTAATAACTAATCACTTTTCTGCTTTATAAAATTCTAAAGAAAGAAGATGTTTCCTAAAGTCTTCTCTCACACCTGCGATTATCTTTCGTTATCAATATTTTCTACCCAAGTTTTCGTTAAGTCATGATAAAGTTGATGATTTTAATGTTATTACGTATTTTGTTGTTTATTGTGACATAATAGAGGCGCTGTGATTGGTGGTACGTCATCTGAAGAGAGGCACTGATTGGTGAAGCGTTATCTTAATAGAGGCTCTGTGACTGGTGGATGGTGGTGCGTCGTCTTTATAGAGGCGCTGTGAATGGTGGTGCGTCATTGTATTTTTTTGTGTGTGGTTAACTGGGATTTGCTGTGATGTAATAGTGTATGTATGTATGTGTGTGTGTGTGTGTGTATGTGTGTGTGTGTGTGTGCGTGTGTGTGTGTGTGTGTGTGTGTGTGTGTATGTGTGTGTGCTCAGGGTCATAAGTGCGGATTGTTCCTGAAGCGTTTATTCACACACACACGCATACATGAACACGGTGGTATGTATGTATGGACATACATACATACATACATAACTGGGGCCTATTATAACTGGGACCTAATAGAACTGGGGCTGAGTACTGGGGCCTATTATAGCACAGGTTTAAACTAGAACTGGGGCCTATTATAACTTTGGGACCCCTAATAGGCCGGGTGGTGTCCCTGGACCAGTCTTAGGAGCAGGACACAGATGGACGGGACAGAGATGGACGGGACCGAGATGGACGGGACAGAGATGGACGGGACAGAGATGGACGGAACAGAGATGGACGGAACAGAGATGAACGGAACAGAGATGGACGGGAGAGAGATGGACGGGACAGAGATGGACGGGACAGAGATGGACGAGACAGAGATGGACGGAACAGAGATGAACGGGAGAGAGATGGATGGAGCAGAGATGGACAAGAGAGAGAAGTTCTTCGCTCGCACAAGTACTGGTTTTTTTGGCTACCGTCTAATTTCATTTTTTTGTTTTGCGGTGTTTTTGATTGGTGGTTGCTGGGGCAAGGCGAAGGCCAGTGAGGGCGAGAGGGACGGGCCACGCCTCTCCAAGACACTACATTTGGAACAGTGATTACGTTCCTTATACAGTCTCTGGTACCTTTCCCAAGACCCCGTTGTTGGAGAGGGTTTAAAAGGTGATCCGGGGTTGCCTCTGTTTCCCCTGTGACTTAACCTAACCTAACCTAACCTATTCGAAGTAGACAACGGGTGTTGCTGTTCCTCTCGCGGTCGTTCACATCACCACCACAAGGTAAATCAACACACCAGGCGAGTCTCTTCACCCTGCAGCGACAAATACCTCTCCAGTATAGCAGCTTCGCCAGGCAAACTTTCGCTCGACTTCCTTCCTCTACTCTACTCCTCAATGACATAAAAAAACTTGCAAGAACTTCGCCAGATAATCTTCCCTTCAATTTCTTTCCATTTCTTGATAACATAATCTTACGGGAGCTACGCCAGACGAACTTTCACCAGTCTTACCTCCCTCCCACCATGATATAACCCAGAAGAGAGTCAGATCGTTGTTGGTTTACCCTGGCGCTCTTTTGACAGGGCAGGGGTAGGTAGCAGTTCTTAGTCAGGCACCAGATAGCCAGGCAGTTGTGCAGCTGGACAAGAAAGACGGAAGACAATGGAGAAAGACGGAAGACAAGGAGAGGTCACTGGAGTCAGGAGGTCAATGTTGTGTTTATTACGCGAAGAAAAGGAAAATATTATGAGTTGACTGGGAGAACAGACAGACAGACAGACATATAGATAGAGAGATAGATAGTGCAGGTATACAAACAATGTACATAAACAGTGTAGGTATACAAACAATTGTAAACAGTAAGTAGATTCGACCTCGGATATCCCAACACATTAACCAACGCAGGAGATTTAAGACCAGTGAAAATTTATGACAAAAAAAAAAAGGTTTGTCTGTTTCCTTGCTGCCAGAATCGGGTGTACAGTCTAGTGGTCATCGATGGTGTTATAGTGACGGGGAAAATCAGGGATAATATGTTTATTTTTTTGTTTTTTAATTGTTGGAGATAAAAGTTGTCATTGATTTTGTTTCATCGCGTTGAGTTGTTTAGATTGTACAGGTAAAAGTCAGGTGTGATGATGGAATTAGGTTGTGTTGTGGGGGGATGCAGTCAGTCAGTCAGTCAGTCAGTCTCCAGTCTCTCTCTCTCTCTTGGATTACATAAAGATTATAACTCAGAATGGGGTGGGGGGGGCAGGTTCGGCTCCAGTTTAGAGGACTCAGACATTAGCAGTCAGGAGTTCCCCCTACCTAGCTAGACCTTGGGCCACACACACACACACACACACACACACACACACACACTTCCACCCTCATTATGATTATATACCTGCACAGCTCAGTAGAAGTGGAGTGTTTGTATTAATGTTGGTTTTGGTTTTGCCTGGATTCTAGTTTGTTTAGTTTGGGAGATGAATGGCTGTGCGTGTGTGTGTGTGTGTGTGTGTGGAGTTAAGTATGAAATTTGACAAGTGTTGTGCTGTAGAGTATGTCTGGACACACACACACACACACACACACAGTTAACGGGGCAGAAGAGGACTGGAATTGACAGTTAAGAGTGGGATAAAAACTTAACTTGCCAAGGGGTAACTCTCATAATTAGTCTTGTGTGTCATAAATCGAAGACAAACACTCATACATCCATTAATTGTTAGGCATTGTAACCTGGATGATGGAGAGAAGACGGAACGATGGACAAAAACTGGATCAGAGTTGTGTTCTTATAGAAGTTAAGTAACAGTGCCACCTGTGGCCCAACCAGGTAAGGTGAGGGTATGAGGGGAGGTGTAGAGGGGAGGTGTAGAGGTGAGGTGTAGAGGGGAGGTGTAGCGGTGAGGTGTAGAGGGGAGGTGTAGAGGGGAGGTGTAGAGGGGAGGTGTAGAGGGGAGGTGTAGAGGGGAGGTGTAGAGGGGAGGTGTAGAGGGGAGGTGTAGAGGGGAGGTGTAGAGGTGAGGTTTAGATCCTTAATTTCGTTTAACATAACTTAACTTAAACTTAACTTAAACCTAACCTAACCATTAGACGGAATTTTTCCATACTAACCGCAAACTGTTTTTCAGACAAATTGCCAAATATTTCCAATCAAGCTGTTCAGTAGTTCTTTCCTTAAACCATCATCACAGAGCTTGAAAGATGATAAGATATTTGTCAGTTTGTTCAGAAAGCACTCAAGTGGTCTCCAAATGGTCTCCAAGTGTTCTCCAAGTGGTCTCCAAGTGTTCTCCAAATAGTCTCCAAGTGCCCTCCAAGTGGTCTCCAGGTGTCCTCCAAGTGTTATCCAAGTTCACTCTCTTGTTCTGAGTTACTGAAAAATTCAACTTTCTCCGCTTGATAAGAGTCGTCGTGGCGGGTATTCACGGGAGTCGTGCTGGTCTTCATGTTACAAGTGTTCACTGCCTGAGACTTCACACGCCGGTGGCACGCTCTGGGGCCTGGTGGATGATGTGAAGTGAGTGAGAGAGAGACTTAAAGCCCTGTGCAGGTGGAAGAGGAGGGAGGCTGTAAGAGGAGATCACCACTGGCTTCCTTGATGTACCCGAGGCTTCTGAGGTAACAGCAGCAACAGAGGGCTGGTGTGACGGGCTGGTGGGTGAGCGGGGGTGCAGGCGAGGACCTCTCTACCTTGGCCCTGAAGTGTTGTGGTGGGGTGTGGTCAAGCCCCCGGATTGGCTCCCACCGCGGTCTTCTGTTTACCCTACACCGCTACTCATTGGTCGCTGCAGATTTTCGACTCTTGCATGTTCCCACCGAATGTTCCAGACTTTCAAAAGAGCTTTAAAAAAATGTTTCTCACAGCCGAGTGTTTTTAGTGAGTGGTCGATGGTGGTTGACAATCAGAGAGAGAGAACGAGCATTAGCCACCAAGTTTATAGGTAAACCCCCAACAGGACAATGACTGTGTCGTTTAGTGATAATTACGGGTTGGAAATTGAAGCCTAAAAGAGGTTTGGTGGTAAGGGATGGAAATATGGGGGGTGAGATGCGCAGTAGAGATGCGTGGTGGTGGTGAGCGAGGCTACGACGCCCAGCTCCGCTTTTGACAAAGTTTACTTAAGCGGTGCTCTGCCTCCTGCACACATCACTCCGCCCTCGTTACTCGATCATGCAGCCGCCCGCAATAGTACGAACCTTCTCGCTGCTTCACTAATAACCTTTGTCTTTCAGGATATGTTCACTAATGCCATGACTCGTGTGCAAATATATCTACATTAATATTGGCTCAATACCTTTTTTAACATTTAATACTTAAGATCTTTATTAAATCCATTTTATCTTTTCATCAGCTACAAATTTCAGTTCTGATATTAATTTGTTTACGTTAAGTATTATTTTGTTTTGTTTATTATCGGTTTATTAAGACTAAAGGACAGTTAACATCAGCGGTCAATACTTAGTGAAATAGTATTTTTTATTTATTTTCCCCTTTACGAGGATCATTGTTGACACCTAGTGTATTCCCACCCAGTGTGTTCCCACCTAGTGTTTCCCTCCCAGTGTGCCCCTACACAGCGTGTCCCCACCCAGTGTGTTCCCACCCAGTGTGCCGCCACACAGTGTGCCCCCACCCAGCGTATGTCTCCTCCCAGTGTGCCCCCACTTAGTGTGTACGGCCAGTATGGATTCATCTCTACAACAAGTCAAGTGCTATGTGTTGTGAACCTCAGTTGAGACACAGTGAGTGAACACATTATCTCGTCGAAGGATTATAGTTGTATCTTGTGGACTTGCAGCGTTATGTGCAAGGTTTCCCTGAGCATGAGACTGCTAGCTCCTTCCTCTTGTGTGGCTCTCAACATGAAGCGTTGTGTTGGAGACGAAGTGGATCATATAAGTGTTTCTCTCTCTGTGTTTATAATAATGCCAACAGTAGGAGTTTCTTCGGTGTAGTTGAGGTGTATTTAAGATAATTCAAATAGGATCTGATTTTTTTGACACTTATGGTAATGTACTTAGTTGTTCTTCCGTTCATTGTATATGTGAGGGAGTGAATGTTGGTGGTACAGGAGGAGTGTGAGTGAGTGTGGTCGTCGTCCTTCACAAAAACTCCTCAAATTTATTCAAGGGAGTGAGTGAGTGTCGGTGTTTACGATGACTTTAAGTAAATAATGATTATATGACGTGTTATATTCTTCCGTCACAGAAACGCCTGAAATGTGTTGGGTCACCAAGGAAGGAGGGCGATGAGGGGCAGAAGGCGTGTTCCTTGGCCCCGCCTGCCCTCGTCTGGGCTGTCTGGCTCAAGCTACGGGCCATCTTCTCCAACGTGGCCGTAGAACCCATCATGTTGCTGGACGGTCTCGCTTACTCCATCATGATAGTCTTCGTCGAGGACATCCAAGTTGAGAAAATCTGTCACGTTAACCTGAACTACACGAGTGAGGTGTGTGCTAACCTCTCCCGCTACTCTGAGGAGAACATCAAGGTGCATCAGTCAGTGAGTGTGTTCGGGATGTATAATGGGATAATGATGTCATCTATATCCGTGTTCTTCATCTTGTTTATGGGTGCGTGGAGTGACAAGTATGGTAGAAAGACGCCGCTGTATATCGCCACTCTCGGTCACTTCTGCTGGGCTATAGGCTACCTCCTCAACTCCTGGGTGACGGAGTGGCCAGTGGAGTACCTGCTGGTGGCCGCCCTCTTAGACTCCCTCGGGGGTGGTAACGTTTCATTCCTTACCGCCGCCAACGCCTACCTCAGCGACGTCACCTCCGAGGAGACCAGAACTATGAGGGTTGGACTCGCCAACAGCATCTGGTATTTAGGTGGTCCGATTGGCACTCTGCTGGGACTGTACATATACCAATACGGAGGCTACCGGGTGCTGTTCGGTACGTCAGTGTTACTGCACTGTGTTTCCCTCGCCTACCTCTTCTTCCTCCCCGAGAGTCACGGACCATTCGCTAAAAACAAGTTCTCCGAGGTGAACGGCGAGCCTCAAGGGGAAAAACCTTCCGTCCATCTCTCACTGAAGAAGCCGAGTGAGATAGCGGACTGCCCTGATAAGGTGTCCATCTGGAAGATCATCAGCGACTTCTTCCACTACGAGAGGATCGTCGACTCGTTCCGCTGTACCTTCAAGGCAAGAGAAGGACTCGTGCGACCCTTCATCCTCCTCCTCATCCTCTGTAACCTCCTGCGTCGTCTGGGTCGAGGTAAGTTGACAACATCATTCTATTTTGTTTTTGTCTCGCAGATATACGTGTGTTGTCATGACAGGGTGTGGCTGTGTTAGTCTCTAGGGTGTGGCTGTGTTAGTACCCAGGTATCATGTAGTCACGTGGGCAAGATGTAGGGTGGCTGTCACAATATACGAGGGAACCGGTCCAGCTGGTCTGCACACACACGCACACATGGTAATACAACACCTCATACAGTTATTTGTCACCTAATACACCTTTCCAACAGGTAATACACTAATACAATAGAGTTAGTTAACAAATAATACAATCGATTATCACCATTACCATCACACTCATCACCACCACCATCACCACTCATCACTACCATCACCACCACTCATCACTACCATCATCATCACCATCACCACCACTACCACCACTCACCACCACCCCTGACCATCACTACCACCACCCATCACCACCACCACCACACATCAACACCACCACACATCAACACCACCACACATCAACACCACCACCCATCACCACCACCACACATCAACACTACCACCCCTGACCATCACTACCACCCATCACCACCACACATCAACACCACCACACATCACCACCACCACCACCCATCACCACCACCTCGACAGTTAACGACCTTTCCCGCAACTTTCACTCCTCTCTCACCAAACTTAGATTTTTCATCATACATACATACATATACCATATATACATACATACATACATACATACATACATACATACATACATACATACATACTTACATACTGTCTCAATAGGATTTCAACGTTGTTTAAGGAGTTATCTTTCCTCGACACATAGGTAGTCCTCGACACATAGGTAGTCCTCGACACATAGGTTGTTAAAAAAACAGTCAAATGGGAGAATAATGTCCGGTTAAGCGGGGGAATATAAAATCCGGTTAAATGGGTGAATATAATGTCCTTCGGAGATTCGGACACAGGGAGAAAGGGAAAGGGCAAAGGAAGGAAGAAAGAGAATGACGTGAATGAAGAAGATATAAAATGAGGGAAGGGGGGAAGGAGGAAGTAGGGGGGAGGGAGGAAGGAGAGGTAGGAAGGAAGGAAGTAGGGAAAGGGAGGGAGGAAGTAGGGAGAGGGAGGAAGGAAGTAGGGAGAGGGAGGAATGGAGAGAATGGAGGAAGCAGAGGAAGGAAGTGGGAGGGGGAGGAAATGAGGGAGGAAGGAAGTAGTGAAGAAGGAGGGGGGAGGGGGAGGAGAGAACGAGGTAGGGAAGATCTCAGAGCGCCCTTGAATATGTTGGTACTGTTTGGGCCAGCGACCCCAGATCTCACCTGGTCCAGTCCCAAATCACCTCACCTGTAACACCTCCAACACAACCTACACCCCCTCCAACACTACCTTATTCTCCTCCAACACAATTTATATCTCTCCAACACCACATTAAACACCACCAACACTACCTTCACACACACACACACATTAAATAATAACCCATTGTAATAACTCAAGTAACAATACACTGAATTAGTTGTTTCTCAATTTAGGGAAGAAAACCTAAGTCAAAAATGGTATCTGAAGTACGCCGAGACTCTACCTGAAGGAGTTAACCTGAAGGAGTTAACCTGAAGGAGTTACGCTCACTTAACACCGTCTTCAAGGACATGATGTTTTTGTAATACTCGTCCTTGACTTGTGGAGTGGTGGAGTGAGTCATTCTGTTCTTTGTGGAGGGAGGGAGGGCTGGAGACATAGAAGGAGGGAGGGAGGGAGTGAGAGAGAGATGAGGAGAGGGAGGGAGTGAGGGACAGATGGAGGGAGGGATGGTGAGATGGAGGGAGTAAGGGACAGATGGAGGGAGGGATGGTGAGATGGAGGGAGTAAGGGACAGATGGAGGGAGGGATGGTGAGATGGTAAGGGACAGATGGAGAGGGATGGTGAGATGGAGGGAGTAGGGACAGATGGAGGGAGGGATGGTGAGATGGAGGGAGTAAGGGACAGATGGAGGGAGGGATGGTGAGATGGAGGGAGTAAGGGACAGATGGAGGGAGGGATGGTGAGATGGAGGGAGTAAGGGACAGATGGAGGGAGGGATGGTGAGATGGAGGGAAAGGAGGAATAATAACTGACTGACAAATTAACTAAATAATTGATTAACTTTGTCTTACCCGCCAACAAATACACACAATGTAAACAGGTCAAGGACACACACACACACACACACACACACACACACACACACACACACACACACACATAAACACACACACACACAGACACAGCCAGAAAGACAGACAGACACATGCTGCAGGTGGTGAAGATTGTTGACATTTCACAATCTTACTTGCGTCTGTAGCTCTATACCCGATTGACTTACTAACTTACACAATGAATGTAAAATATAACTCATTAATTCGTTAACTGTGTTGCTTAGTGGCGCTGTGTTAGTGGTCCTAGTAGTGGCATTGTGGTACTTATTGGTTCTGGTAGTGGCACAGTATGTCGGTATTATTATTATTATTATTATTATTAGTAGTAGTAGTAGTAGTAGTAGTAGTAAAGTAGTAGTAATAGTAAAGTAGGAGTAGTAAAGTAGTAGTAGTAGTAGTAGTAGGGAGTGGCTATTAGGTGTGGCTATTGGGGGAGGATGGGGGCCACGTAAAAAAAAGTAGTAGTAGTAGTGGTAGTAGTAGAGGTACAGTAGTAGTAGTAGTAACAGTAAAGTAGTAGTAGTAGTAGTAGCTTCATCATTACCACCTCTCCTTCACCACCCTCAGGAGCCTACATGTTCCTGTTCACACGCCGGGTGCTGGGATGGAAGGCGACTGACTATGGCCTCTGGGTCACCTACAAGAACCTTCTGGCGGCTGTAGGTGAGTTACTGCTCTCTCCTGTTGACTGTTGTTTGTGTCACTGCTCTCTCCTGTTGACTGTTGTATGTGTCACTGCTCTCTCCTGTTGACTGTTGTATGTGTCACTGCTCTCTCCTGTTGACTGTTGTTTGTGTCACTGCTCTCTCCTGTTGACTGTTGTATGTAACTGCTCTCTCCTGTTGACTGTTGTATGTGTCACTGCTCTCTCCTGTTGACTGTTGTTTGTGTCTGCTCTCTCCTGTTGACTGTTGTATGTGTCCTGCTCTCTCCTGTTGACTGTTGTATGTGTCACTGCCTCTCTCCTGTTGACTGTTGTTTGTGTCACTGCTCTCTCTCCTGTTGACTGTTGTATGTGAGCCACTGCTGTCTTCTGTTGACTGTTGTTTGTGTCACTGCTCTCTCCTGTTGACTGTTGTTTGTGTCACTGCTCTCTCCTGTTGACTGTTGTTTGTGTCACTGCTCTCTCCTGTTGACTGTTGTTTGTGTCACTGCTCTCTCCTGTTGACTGTTGTTTGTGTCACTGCTCTCTCCTGTTGGCTTGGGAGATCAAGTGTTGCAACTTAATATGCCAATTTTGCAATTTTTATTCTGAAGAGAAGTGTTGCTACATAAGAATCGTGAGGTTATTTTTGCTTCTAATTCTTTCCCACGTGTGTGTGTGTGTGTGTGCATTTACTTTGTCTTATGTGTATGTCGTGTGTGTGTGTTATGTGTGCGTGTGTACATAATAATCGTCAAGTTTCTTTACGCCATTTGCCTCTGTCTACCCAGTAGTAATTGGAAACCTGGATGTTAATCGATTTGCTCATCGCGTTCCTGGGTAATGGTTAGCCAGTGCAATTGGCTAGTTGTCCGGTCTTCTCGGACTATTCCTTGACACTGGTTTATGCAGCTCGTTAATTCAGGGTGTGGTTGTTGTGTTGGCGACAGCTTCTACACCTTAAACAAGTTCATACCTAGGTGAACCTTGGGCCGCCATCCTCAATCTCGAAGGTCAACCTTTATGTTATAATAATCGTAAATTTAATGAACAATCTCGTTAAGAATTTATTCCATAGGATTTTCACTTCAGATGGGATTAATGACGTACTGTACATAAGTGGGAGGAGGAGAGCAACATGAGTGGGAGGAAGAGAGGAACATGAGTGGACGGAGTTAAACAACATGAGAGGGAGGAGGAGAGCAACATGGGTGGGTGATGACTGGAAAGAAAAGACTGTGTGAGAGGAGTAGAGGACAATAACTGTGTAGAAGGCCATAAACTGGTATAAAAAAAGTAACAGGAAATGACGCAGATAACACCGAGAAATGGCCACGGTCACCTGTCCATATCTTAACACTGTTTACGAGGTACAGGAAACAATGTAGACAAACAGTGTAAGTATACAAACAATACACATAGACAGTATAGGTATAAAATAATGGTAAACAATAAGACATTCTAACCAAGGAAAGCCTAACAAAGCCTTCAGGTACTAGGGGGGGGGGGGGCTAAATATTTAACGTGTAAAATACTTGCCAAACTACACTAACACACATAACTCAACTGTCGTAACTGCCCCCCCCCCTCCTCCCCCCCTCCCCCTCCAACATCCTCCGCTCAAATATGCGTAACTTTTCGCCATCGTGGCCTTGAAGGAACGGCTGCAGTCAACATGCAAGTGGTGGTCGTGTGCTTGTAGGCGGCTGAGAGTGTGGGAGACTTGATGAGGGTGAGGGAAGGTGAGGGAAAGTGTTCAGTTTTAAGTTAAGTATAAAATGAAGTTTTATTATTCCAGGTCATTTTGTTTACTACTTCAGAGACTAATTCAAATAAATCTACTGTACATATGACGACGTTAAATTCAGTAAGTAAATAAAAACAATAATAATAAAAAAAAAACTCAATGCTAAAATGCAGTAAATATTCAAAACATCGTATAATAATAATAATAATAATAATAATAATAATAAAACATTGAAAGATAAAAAAAAAGCAATGAATAAATGCTACACTGAATAAAAGTTCTATTATTTGGTGAGCGAGTAATGATGACTTGTGTGTTCTGGTTGATGCGGTACTACCCAGCCAGTCAACCCATTTTTACTGATGGACACTAATGCATGGAACTTATTAGGGTGATTCATTTAACATAATACAGTAACAAGGTTTATTTTGTGTTGTGAAATAACAAGGAATTGATGATTAGCAAAGCATCCACTCTTTCCATCCTTCTAGAGAGAGGATAAGGTGTTAGGTCATTGCACAGTAGCGTAGTTTCTTCTCTCTCTCTCTCTCTCTCTCTCTCTCTAAGCTGTGAATGAGTCGCCGTGAGGATGTTCAACCATGACTCACCATAACATTAAGTGTATGAGATTCCTTTCAGCTTCCTTGTCATCAGGTGAAGATAAACCCACGTTATACTCGGCAGAGGACAAAACCCACACACACACACCTCCCATTACCCGCCCGCCCCGCCCGCCTCGCATACATACCTGCAAGTTTTTCGAAGAGATTATTTTTTTTTTTACATCTACGTCAAGTTTTTATGGGGTGAGGTAGCGAGATAGTGCTCTCTTGAGGTATTATTTGTGTGTGTTTGTTGTGACATACGTGAAATCGAGATCACAGGGCGGTCATGATGGTATAACTCTATAGTAAGATGCAGTGGGGGTGTTCCTCTTCGTCTCAGCTGATCTTGTTGAGTTGCGTGTCATGTCGTGTTCTGTGAAGCACGTTTGTTCCCAGTCTTACACCCAATGACACCAGCCAAAGGCAACAAACTGTCCACTGAAACACCTGAGTCAGGAAGAGTTGTCCGAAAAAATAATGAGAAAATTTATGATATTAGGGAAAATAACTGATATTGAGACCTACACTTTGTCAGGTGTATATTAACAGTGATTTTGAACTGCTGTGAGTCATAGTTGGAAGTCAGATGTTTATTATAGTAGTAATTTATGCTTAAGAACGGTCAAGCAAAACTGAAATAATTTTATATTATTTAAAGATGTGAAGCAGAAAATTACAGGCTGCAGGATTTCCTCGTGTGCATCCTGTTTATAATAGCTGTATCACGGAGCCACACACACACACACACACACACACACACAGGGAAAGGCCCAACTCTTATCCTTGACGTGATTCTCTCTCTCTCTCTCTCTCTCTCTCTCTCTCTCTCTCTCTCTCTCTCTCTCTCTCTCTCTCCCAAGAAAGATATAGATCAAGAACAAGATAAATGAGGGAAGCGGATAAGATGAAACAAGAGGAGGAGAAGGAGGAAGAAGTAGAGAAAGAAAAGGAAGAAGAAGAGGAGAGAAAGAGGAGGAGGAAGAGGTGGAAGAGGTAGAAAAAGAAGAGGATGAAAAAGTGGGGTGGAGGAGGAGGAAGAAGAAGAGGAGGGGGTGGTGATATGAAGCGTGACGTCACTGATTCGAGGCTGAAATGTTTTGTTGAGTGGGGGGGAGGGGGTTCAAGGCCTCCCTCCTCCATTCCTCCTTGCTTGCTTCCTCCTCCATCCCTCTCCTCCCTCCCTTCACTCTTTCTGTCTTCCGTTTAACCTCCATCCACTCTCCCATTGTTCTTTTACCCCTCTCTCCCTCTTTTCCTTTCTCCTTACCTCCACCCCTCCTTTCTTCCCTTTCATCTTCCCTCTTTTCACCCCTCCTTCCCTTCCTTAGTCCCTCCTTCCCTACTCACCTCCACTTATCCCTCTCCCTCCCACCCATTCATCCTAGATTCCTTCTCTCTCTTCCTTCGCCATTCCTTCTCTCTCTCTCTCTCTCTCTCCTTCAATCCCACATACATTATATATTGTTAATGTCAATAAATCCACTCAGTAGATAGACAATACATCCATAAATCCACAGTAAATCTTCCACCCACACACACACACACACACACACACACACACACACACATCCTCAGGTCAGTAACAGCGCTGCGGTGGTCAGTGGCCGCTCTAGTGAACTTTACCACACCCTTCCATCCGCGCCGACGTCGTACTCTGAAAGTTTCGCCGCCACATTCCAGAAATCCTGAACACGAGACTTCAACTAAGACGGGTGATTTTGCTGCTATTAATCCACCAGTTGCTGTGAGAGAGTCTTGGTGGGTTTCTGTTGATGGGGAGGGGGATGGTGGTGTTGGAGGGTGGTGGTGTTGGAGGATGGTGGTGTTGGAGGATGGTGGTGTTGGAGGATGGTGGTGTTGGAGGATGGTGGTGGAGGGTGGTGGTGACGGAGGATGGTGATGGTGGTGGTCTCGGAGGATGGAGGGTGCAAGAAGATGTTTAAGAGCAAAATTCTCGTCTTAGTACAGTGACCAGTTTTGTTACGATGCAGAAGACAGAAGGAGCAGTGAGGGGCCTGGTGGTGGTGGGGGGTGGTGGTGGTGGTGGTGGGGGGTGGTGGTGGTGGTGGTGGTGGGTGGTGGTGGTGGGGAGGTGGTGGTGGTGGGGGGGGGGTGGTGGTGGTGGTGGGGGGTGGTGGTGGGGTGGGGGGTGGTGGTGGTGGGGGGGTGGTGAGGGGGTGGTGGTGGTGGGGGGTGGTGGTGGTGGTGGTGGGGGTGGTGGTGGTGGTGGGGGGTGGTGGTGGTGGTGGAGGGGGTGGTGGTGGTGGGGGTGACAGTGGTGATGGTCGGAGAGAATCCTCCACCATATTCCCTTCTAATATTCTAACAGTCGTGTACACCAATTTTGAACCGGGTCGTTAAACATCATAATGGACCTCTACAACATGTTAATGGGCATGTATAATATTCTAATTGGTCAAGTATACATATATATATATATTTTTTTTTTAATCGGGACTTTACAACATGCTAATGGGATACACAGGTACTATGGTGAAAGTCCCTAACACCTGCCCAGCCAACACTTCACTTTGCTTTACACAACACAACATAACACACCACAACGCAACACCTCACCTCATCTCACCTCACCTAACTTTATACAAGCACAACACAACACCTCACCTTGCTTTACACAAACACCTCACCTTGCTTTACACAAACACAACACCTCACTTCACCTTGCATTACTAAAACACACCAGATAGGCCACACCCGAGTCGACGCACCTGGATGAACTTGAGTGTTAGGGGTAGTGAAAGCTATGGAAGGAACCTTAGTAAAAAAGACAGACAGGTGTACTTACTGCAGCAGTAGGGGTATGGTACAGTCAACACGGGGTATGGTACAGTTAACACGGGGTAATGTACTGTTAACACGGGGTAATGTACTGTTAACACGGGGTATGGTACTGTTAACACGGGGTATGGTACTGTTAACACGGGGTATGGTACTGTTAACACGTGGTATGGTACTGTTAACACGTGGTATGGTACTGTTAACACGTGGTATGGTACTGTTAACACACGTATGGTACTGTTAACACGTGGTATGGTACTGTTAACACGGGGTATGGTACTGTTAACACGGGGTATGGTACTGTTAACACGGGGTATGGTACTGTTAACACGTGGTATGGTACTGCTAACACGGGGTATGGTACTGTTAACACGGGGTATGGTACTGTTAACACGGGGTATGGTACTGTTAACACGGGGTATGGTACTGTTAACACGGGGTATGGTACTGTTAACACGGGGTATGGTACTGCTAACACGGGGTATGGTACTGTTAACACGGGGTATGGTACTGTTAACACGGGGTATGGTACTGTTAACACGGGGTATGGTACTGCTAACACGGGGTATGGTACTGTTAACACGGGGTATGATACAGTCAACTCATGGTAATTACCTTAGCTGTATTTTACACATTAACCTGTTTTTGTAATTAATATTTCCAAATAAATTTCTCTAAATGCCAACATGATCAGCTGAACAAGAGAAGGAGGGGGAGGAGGTTCGTTCGTCTTGGCTAAGGTTGCCACCATCTGGATACTATCTGACAAGAATGAGGAAAGTGCTTGGGAGCGCCCCGACCTGTTCCTCCAGCAGTATAGCGAATCGTTTACTTCAACCTTCTGCCTGCTTCTGTGTGTGTGTGTGGATCCATTAGAGGCTATACACCATTCTCCATGAAAGGTCTCTCTCAACAGCTCACTAATACAACTTTCTCTCCTTCTCCTACAGGGTCACTGGTAGCCGTTCCTCTCCTCTCCAAGGTCCTGGGCCTCGCTGACAACTACCTGGCCATGCTGGGTGCTCTCGCCTCCGTCGCCGACTACACCTTCTACGGGCTGGTCTCCAAGGACTGGGAGTTCCTCGTGTGGATAGGTGAGGGAGGACGGATTTTCTCTAATGCTGAGATGGATAGTTTAGGATAAATCTGTGTATTGTGTGGCTAAGTGAGACATAAACGACTCTCTCTACTGCTGGAGCGGATAGTTCAGTGAATGAAATGCTCAACAAGGCCTACCTTCCTTTCTCCTACAGCGCCTGTGGCAGCTCTCCTCGTCAACTCTTGTGTGATAGCCATCCGGTCCATCCTGTCCAAATTTGTAACCGGTGATGAGCTTGGTGAGTGATGATGATGATACCTGTAGCAATAATAATAATAATAATAATAATAATAATAATAATAATAATAATAATAATGATAATACATACAAACATTCCCAACAACTCAATCATATAACCAATTCGTGACACAAGAACACCCGAGGTCCCACAACACTACCCTGAGGCACCCCGCAACGTAATCTTCATCCTCCCTTGGTGTTTACAGGGAAGGTGTCGGCGGTGATGGGAGCCTTAGACGGAGTAATGCCAATGATAATCTTCTCGCTCTACACTGCCATCTACCACGCTACCGTCCACGTCTTCCCAGGAGCTCAGTTCTTCTTTGGGGCATCAGCAAATTTGTTGATGACGCTGATTTTTATGTGAGTTGAAATTAGTATAGTTGTTTGTGGGTTTTTATTTATTTTGTTTTTGTATTAGATGATGTATAAACGCTCCAAAAAAAGAATCTTTACGATTTCGTGTTAGATAATATGACGAAGAATTTTGACAACCCTACCGAGACAACAGGAGTCACAGTGTTCATTTTGAGATTGACTTGACCACTCCGTGAAGATATTTTTTGGAGTTGTATGTACAGTACAGGGTGGTCCATTATTCTTTTTTGAGTGGTGGTGAGTTGAGTTCTTGGTGAAAGGGTTTATCTGCCACCCTGTATATATAATAATTTGAAGGAATGGTATCTATTTATTTTAAGTTTTCTAGTTTCTTATAGTTTTTCTAGTTGTGTTTTTAACTAGGTGGTGTACAGTATGTAAGTGAGTTTTATAGTAGAATTTTTTAAGTTGATGATATACAGGGGTAAGAAACAGGACTTCCCTTCAAGTTGATATTTTTTAAGTAGTTAAGGTGTGTAAGTTAAGTTTTTAGTTAACTTTTTGAAGTAGATGACATATGTAATAAGTCTTTAAGTGCGTTCAGACCTGGGTGGATCATTTTTCATAGAATACCAGTTAGTTCCTGTGACTCACCTGTGATTCACCTATGACTCGCCTGTAACTTACCTGTGACTCACCTGTGACTTACCTGTGACTTACATGTGATTCATCTGTGACTTACCTGTGACTCACATGTGACTCATCTGTGACTTATCTGTGACTCACCTGTGACTTACCTGTGACTCACCAGTGGCTCACCTGTTCCTCATCTGTGACTTATCTGTCCCTCCTCCCTCTCACTACAGCTTCATCATCTGCTGTACGACCTCTAAGAGCTACAGCCTCGATGACTTGCACTCACTGGAAGGTCGAAATGCTGTCGAACCCAAAAGCTTCAGATTCTTCAGCGAGCGTTTCAATCGTCACCTCCAGCCAGCCAGCAGCCAGACGGAAATACTCACCAACTTGGACACCCAGAGGACAAGTCTCGTTCTGTCGGAGGAGAACTTCCATATAGCGACGCCCATGAGGAAGAAGAAGAACATTAAGATGGCGGAGGTTCAAAGGCATGAAGGAGGTGGTGGATGTAGGAGTGTGTGTACTGTGAGTGAACTCGGGAATTTTGATAAAAAAGTTATTGAGGATGAATTAACCTTCCCTCAAAGGATGACGTCACACAAGATAATGGAAACTAAAAAGGAACTGGAGAAGTGTGGTGTTGATAATCCTGCTTTCTGTAATACAGAAGAAGAGGAGGAGGGAGAGAAAGGAGAAGAAAGAGACGGAGAAGGAAAAGGAGGACGAGGAGAGGAAGTTGTTTATAGTGATGACGCGTCCAAAAACTTAGTTCTTTATCGCTTGAACAGTGCTGTGGTGAGTGACGAGACCAAGTAAAAGGTATCCCTCAAAACTGTGTTGTTGATACAGTCTGTTTTTATAAGTGTTAAGTGTTTAGTGAGAGACGGAGGGTAGCAAGAGAGGACCCGGACAGCCCCCAGAAGACGGAGCGGAATCCGTCAGGCAGGTTTTGACGGAACCCATAAGTTTGACGGGCAGATTTGACACAACACGTAGAGTGTGGCAAGCAGGTTTGACACAACCCGTAGAGTGTGGCAAGCAGGTTTGACACAACCCGTAGAGTGTGGCAAGCAGGTTTGACACAACCCGTCGAGTGTGGCAAGCAGGTTTGACACAACCCGTCGAGTGTGGCAAGCAGACTTGACACAACACGTAGAGTGTGGCAGGCAGACTTGACACAACACGTAGAGTGTGGCAAGCAGACTTGACACAACCCGTAGAGTGTGGCAAGCAGGTTTGACACAACCCGTCGAGTGTGGCAAGCAGGTTTGACACAACCCGTCGAGTGTGGCAAGCAGACTTGACACAACACGTAGAGTGTGGCAAGCAGACTTGACACAACCCGTAGTGTGTGGCAAGCAGGTTTGACACAACCCGTCGAGTGTGGCAAGCAGACGTGACACAACACGTAGAGTGTGGCAAGCAGATTTGACACAACACGTAGAGTGTGGCAAGCAGACTTGACACAACCCGTAGAGTGTGGCAAGCAGGTTTGACACAACCCGTCGAGTGTGGCAAGCAGGTTTGACACAACCCGTCGAGTGTGGCAAGCAGACTTGACACAACCCGTAGAGTGTGGCAAGCAGACTTGACAACACGTAGTGTGGCAAGCAGGCAGGCGGGACATGGCCCGTAGAGTGTGTCAGGCAGGCCGGACATGGCCTGTAGTGTGTGTCAGGCAGGCCGGACATGGCCTGTAGTGTGTGTCAGGAAGGCGGTCCATGGCCTGTTGAGTGTGTCACGCAGGCGGGACCCGGCCCTTGAAAGTCTGTCCTAGCGATAGGCTGATCAAAGAGTGTTGACTTCCTGTGATAATAATATTTACGGCGATGCGTTGTAGCAGCGCCTCTTAGTCCCTACCGGGATGTTACCAGTACCTACCAGGGCGATGTGTGTACCGGGACGATCTGCGTACCGGAAGAATGTACTGGTTTAAGTATACCGGTAGTAGCACTGGTACAAATTGCGGTAACGTTGGTGTAAATATTGTTTTCCTATAATATTACTGGGAATTGTGATGTAAGCACCGGTAAAGATTATTAAGTGGACAGTTGATGTTGGTGTGAGTACCGGTGTGATGCTGACATAAGTACCGGTCATACCAATATATACAAGTACCGGTAATAACTAATGATTTTACTGGTATTACTGAATCTTATACTGGTAAGATATAAAACAAAGTACCGGGTATTTAGTGAGATAGTTACCAGTAGAAACAATGAACCAAGTACCGGGTATTATGTGAGAAATTTACCTGTAGAAATAATGAACCAAGTACCGGGTATTTCGTGAAAAATTTACCGGTAGAATGAAAAATCAAATACCGGGTTTATTATCTGTAAGTAGTTCTTGTCTGTTCCTAATATAATAAAATAAAATAAAAGGCAAAAATAGTTATTTTTTCTCCAAACTCCCAATGAAAAAGTATTGAAAATTTCTTGTAGTTTTATCGGTTCAAAAGTTGGGTTACCTGACTGTACCCGGGTGGAGGGACGGAATACAGGAGATAGTACAGCAGTATTCAATAGGCCACCCGCACCTCCCTACCAAATTTCAGCTATCTGTCTTTTATAACTGTGGAAGTGCATAGGAAACACACACACACACACACACACACACACACACACACACACACACATAATTTACTCTACATAGATTTTTTAGTTTTTTGTAAATTATGTACTTTTTTGTAGTTATGTGATGTTAGTATGTGTGTGTGTGTGTGTGTGTGTGTGTGTGTATGTGTGTGTGTGAAGAGAGAAAAACTGCATCACAATGAAGCAAGTCGAACAAAGCTGAAAAAGTACAATTATCCCCACCTAACAGTAGCAGCAATCTTGTATAGTGGAATCCTACCTCATCCTAGACCCTCCCATAGCCTCCTACCTCATCCTAGACCCTACCACAGCCTCCTACCTCATCCTAGACCCTACCACAGCCTCCTACCTCATCCTAGACCCTACCACAGCCTCCTACCTCATCCTAGACCCTCCCACAGCCTCCTACCTCATCCTAGACCCTCCCATAGCCTCCTACCTCATCCTAGACCCTACCACAGCCTCCTACCTCATCCTAGACCCTACCACAGCCTCCTACCTCATCCTAGACCCTACCACAGCCTCACCCATCCTAGACCCCACCACAGCCTCCTACCTCATCCTAGACCCTACCACAGCCTCCTACCCATCCTAGACCCTACCACAGCCTCCCACCTCATCCTAGACCCTCCCATATAGCCTCCCTACCCTCATCCTAGACCCTCCCCATAGCCTCCTACCTCATCCTAGACCCTCCCACAGCCTCCTCTACCCTCATCCTCCTACCACAGCCCTCCACCCTAGACCCTCCCACAGCCTCCCACTCCTCATCCTCCTAGACTCCCACTAGCCCTCCTACAGCCTCCTACCTCATCCTAGACCCCTCTCACAGCCTCCTATGTTATCTCCACACTATTTTACACCCTTCCAATACTTCTTCCCACACCTTCCTACCTCCCTCCTAAAACCTCCCACACCTTCCCACTTCCTCCCTAAATCCTCCCACTCTCCCACACCTTCCCCACTTCTTTCCCAACCCTCCCCCCCCACTCTCCCACGCCTTCCCCACTTCCCCTCCAAACCTCCCACTCTCTCCCACACCTTCCTACCCTTTTCCCACCCCCACTCTCCCACACCTTCCCACTTCCCCCAAACACCCCCACTCTCCCCACACCTTCCCACTTCTTCCCAACCCCCCCACTCTCTCCCACGCCTTCCCACTTCCCTCCAAACCCTCCCCACCTCTCTCCCACACCTTCCCACTTCCCTCCAAACCCTCCCACTCTCTCCCACACCTTCCCACTTCCCCCCAAACACTCCAACTCTCTCCCACACCTTCCTATTCCATCCCAAATCCTTTCACACTCAACCAAACCTTCCCACACTCTCCCACACCTTCCTACTTCCTCCCAAACATTCCCACACTCTCCCACACCTTCCTACTTCCTCCCAAACCTTCCCACACTCTCCCACACCTTCCTACTTCCTCCCAAACCTTCCCACACTCTCCCACACCTTCCTACTTCCTCCCAAACCTTCCCACACTCTCCCACACCTTCCCACACCTTCCCACGTCCTCCCAAACCTTCCCACACTACTCCTACACCTTCCCACTTCCTCCCAAACCTTCCCACACTCCAGAGTTGTAAAGTACCGGTAACGAAATAAATTTACTTGAGTACTACACTGAAGGAACATTTTTGGGTATTTACTTTTTTAAAAATACTCCAAATTTTCAGTACCTTTACTTAAGTATGGCTTTCAAATACTTTTACTACAATACAATTGAAATAAACAAAAACCATTACTCGTTACATGCCCCAAACAATAGTTTTAAATATCCAATCACGGGGCACAGGACAAATTAGGAACCTAACCAACCACAAGCATTTCTTCACGTCTTGACCAATCACATGCGTTCTTTCATATCGTTTCATCTATGTACTCAAGCACTAAAGACCAATAAATCACCATTCTAATAATCAATGAAGTTATAAACAACGGAAATTTACAGTGTGGGAAACGGAAAAGTCACTAGAATGGCAACTATGAGATCGGTTTGCTCTATAATAAAATTAATGTTTTGATATTTGTGTAAGTTGTTAGCTTAGTTGACAAATTGTCATCAGATGAAGGCAATGTGAAACCTGTGCCGAAAACAGTAGTTATCCTTCTAGTGATAATTTTCTTTACTACTGTGCTCAAGGTGATGTTTCTTTCCTAGACTCAGCTGTTTGTCTTGTCTGGAGTGGCGCCAAAATGGCCAAGGATATAGCTGTTCTCTACCATAATGTACAGTATATATATATATATATATATATACTATTTTAGGTGGCTGATTTTCCCATGAAGTAATAAAGGAAGTTATTACAATAATAATGTTCTGAATACTTGACAAAGTCAGGCGTTAGGTAGCAGTGGGAGTCGGAACTCGGGAACGTTCACGTGTCTTTCACAATACAATAAAAATATATGACTTTGCTTGGGAAATTGGTATCCCCGCCTCCCCTGAGCAACTCTCTTGTGCATTATGCAGAAGACCCGACAGCCGCACCCTTATCCACTACCTCCTAAGATGTCCCCACACACAACGCTTCCGTGACGCCTGCTGGACCACCACTCCACGACCCCCTGACGGAGACACGATGATCCTCCCCATACTGGCCAGATATTATGTACAAAACAATGATTATGTGTTAAAGGAATATCCTTCCTTCCTTAGGCTTTAGTAAGCCCCTTTATAATATTTATATTGTATATACTTGTCACACTTGCCAGATGCTTCTGGTGTCATTGTACAGGGGTACCTAGTGACAGCACTAGGATCCCGCTTCCTCTATCAAGGAATAAACAATTGAAATTGAAATTGAATTGAATAAAAATATTAAACCAAATGTTTATTTATATTATTATATACATAGTAATTTACTTTAAAAAGCCCAACATTTCTTTCTTACTTGAATCTAGTGGGGAAAGATATGAAGACAAGGGAATTGGTATTATTGCAGTTTCACTCCCAATTGGGTTAGAGCAATTTGTGTGTGTGTGTGTGTGTATGGGGGTGATAACTCAAAAACGACTCATTTCCGACAGAAATAAAGTTAAATTTCGAATGAATCACACCAAATACCACAGGGAAAAACTTAGATTTCTGGTAAAAAAAAAATGGTAGTGAAACTGCAATTTTACCTGAAGGTGTGGGGTTAAGGATGCACGAAGATTGTTTTTAAAATTTCTAAGCCAAGAATTTGATAATGCAATCCCCCAAACTGTATTTAAAAAAGTTCAAACCAAGAGTATACAGAGTCAACCACCAAAGTCTAACCCAGGAATGTTGCATCAAAATGAACCTGTTTACGGCCATCGTTCTTTTTGGAGCCCGCGTTAGCCATGTTTTGTCTCGAATTTTTAAAAATCAACCTTTTGTTTTAACACCTCATTTTCTCTAGTTTTCAAAGCTCTCTGCACTTTCAAAGAATTTCATATTTTAGGCATTTGATTTCATTAAATGGTTACTATGGACACATCACGAAACATTAGCCGATAAACATGTGTAATGCTATGTGTCTTTTATGTATTTCTTTGGTTACCAATTAATATAATTTACTGAAAATTTATTTTAATATTTGAGACGATTAATAATTTTGTTGTTTCTTTTTACTTATACTTGAGCACATTGAACTTTGGATACTTTACTTCTACTTGATTAAGATTTTGCAAATATAACAATACTTTTACTTAGTAACAAAGTCCGGTACTTCTTACAACTCTGCTCCTATACCCTCCCACTCCGTCCCAAACCCTCCCACACTCTCACAAACCCTCCCACCCCCCCCCCCACCCCACCCCACAGGCTCCTGCACGTCAAACTTTTTATTAAATTATATTCAGGAGTTTTGTCACGGTCAGACCATTTACGTGGCCCTTATGGAGTAAATGAAATTCACCTTGAAGTGTGTGAGGTAAGATATGTTTAGGGGTCATCTGGCGAGATTTATGGCATCACACGAGCAGCTTTTTTTATGTTCGTGAATGAAGCAATGAGTTTTAAGACACGTGGTGGATGGCTTGCTCTCTCTCTCTCTCTCTCTCTCTCTCTCTCTCTCTCTCTCTTTCAATACACAAACTCGTAATAAGAGAAAGAGAGAGATAGAGATAGAGAGGTAAATAAAGATAAAGACAGAGAAAGAGCGAGACAGAAAGAGATAAAGAGAGAGGGAGAGACAGATGGAGAGAGAGAGAGCCAGCCAGCCACCACTTGTCTTAAAACTCATTGCTCCATCATCAATGCTTCCCTCAGCCAAGCAAGATGCCCATCTGACTGGAAGACCTCATAATGTGTCACCAGTGCCCAAGTCAACCAGCCGACAGTCCTTAAATCAGCTACGACGCTTTGCCATCACCCTAATACCCAGCTTAATCTGTGAAAGTTTCGTGTTTGACTGGGCTTGTGCTGATATAGCAGGCGCCATAGATCCTCAGCAATTTGGCAATATGAAAACTTCCTCCACCACTCACTGTCTTGTCAGCTTTCTCGACTACATATACCGCCATCTGGAAAAAAACGAAAGACCTCTGTGGCTGTCTCCTTCATTGACTTCACCAAAGCATTTGATCTAGTCGACCACAATTTAATCATCAACAAAGCTATCGACCTCGGGTTTCTGAGACGTTTTATACCATGGCTTACAAGACTTCCTTAGTGAACCGACGCCAGGCAGTACTCTTCCGAGGGGCCGTCTCCACTTTTCACTCACTTACCTGTGGAGTCCCCCAAGGCACTAAGATGAGACCGCTCTGCTTCCTCATGCTTATCAATGATACCTTAAGAGATACTTCCGCTTG